TCAAGCCTCAACCATGGTAATAGTTTTATCTCGCTCAAGGTGTCCATCCAATCTTCCATATGTAGCTCCTAAATGATTTTGTTGATAAATCTGGTATTGATGGAATAAAATTTGATCATAATCATATGTTGTAAAAAGTTAGCTTTCAATGGCTACTTCATCCACTGTCAAGACCTAGTTCTAAAAAATAAAAAAATAAAAAAAAATCTCTAAAAAATCTGAAAAAAATAAAAAAATCCTAAAATTTTCTTCTTTTTTTCTACCTTTATGTATAGAAATAAATAATTAATTTCATCCCTCGATTTTTTTTTTATTTCTCTCAAATTCAAACCATTTTTTTTTTTTATGAATACGAGGGAATAGAAGCAATTTTTTATTTCAAAAATTTATTATGATTTTTTTTTCAAATCCAAACCCAATTTTTTTTATTATTTATTTCATAAATTTATTATGAAAATTTATTTCAAATCCAAACTCAATTTTTTTTTTTAGAAATTTATTATGAAATTTTATTTCAAATCCAAACCTAATTTATTTATTTATTTTAGAAATTTATTATTAAAATTTATTTCAAATCCTAGTAGAAAGTTCACAATATTTTTTTGGGTTTGGATTTGAAAGAATTTTTTATAATAAACTTTTGAAATAAATAAATAAATAAATAATTGCTTCTATTTCTTCCTATTCATAAAAATTTTAATTTTTAATTGAATTTGAGAGACATAAAAAAAATTGAGGGATGAAATTAATTATGTATTTCTACATATGAAGGTAGAGAAAAAGAAGAGAATTTTAGGATCTTTTTGAAACTTTTCAGATTTTTTTGAATTTTTTTTCAGATTTTGTTTTGAAAAATTTAATACCATGTGTCAATATTATGTCAATTTTAAATTAAAAATTATAGCAATTTCCTAAAAAATTAGACAAAAGGTAGAAATTCAGACATAAATTAAAAATAGAGAAACATCATTATTAAAAAATTTAATAAAAGAACTTGATCACGACAAATTAAACAAGAAATATCCTGAATTTTTAATTTGTTGAAAAATACATTTTGAAGTTTGACCATGATAGCCCCTGCCTTTTCCAAAATGTGGCCTGAAAAGTACAGCTTAATGTCCTACATGAGAAGACAAAGCATTGGCGATTGTTGATTCATCAAGAACCTTCCACAGTAGTAAATGCAAGAAATCCTGTCAGCTTCACAATAATTGAAATGATAGACTGCCATTGTTTTAGTCCTAGGGAACTCTGTAACCTAGTCTCAAACATGTTTCAGGAAATCTCTTATCTCTCTCATTAATTAATTAGTCAATAAAACAATTTAGATGGCGGCGTTTAAAAATCAAGGCAGAGACAACGGGCTAGTGGGCGGCTTCCCAAATAAAAAAATGTCCCTCAACTTTAAAGAACATCTCAAAACAGTGTAGCTCTTTCCTATATATACTAATGATCCTTTGCAATAAAATCATGGTCACAAATTCTTTATTTTTTGACTTTTGCTTTTCTTTTTTTATTCCTATACAATAGTAAAATGGGCACGTCCCCTGGGTGTCCCCATTATGTGAAAATCTTTTCTACTCATTATCATTAATATCGTTATTGTTATTATTAGTATAGTATATCCATATGTTGTCGTAGATAAATTTACATAATATATTTTAATATTTTTAATAATTAAAAAAATTTAGATGTAAAATAAAAATTGATTAACTTTAATTGTGAGAGTTTGTTAAATTTAATATGTATTATATCATATTTAATAAAATATTTATATTTTGTAATTGAGTTTAAATATATCTTATGAATATGTTTGATTTTGATTAATAAAAAAATGCTTATTTATTTATTTTTTTAAAATCAAATTAAAAGAGATTATTAAATCAATTTATATTAAAAGAATGTTTAATTTAAGTTAATGAGTCTACCAAAAGAAAACCATTAACTATTGTAAAAAAGATTTGTTTTAGTGAATAAATAAATAAATAAATAAATAAGAGGCTAGGCTGGGGGCGCACCAAATCTTTTTTGATGGGCCCGGAGAGATAGTCAGGCCCGTGCGTATAAGCTAGACACGCAGCCTAGCCATTAAAAAACGTACAAGGACCTTTCTGTAACAAAAATTAAAATTAAGAACCGTTTTATATAAAATTATAACTCTAAAGATTGAAGTGTAACAAAATGTATAAAATGTCTAAGCAATCACTTTTTCGAATACGGACGTCGTTTTGCCCATGATTAGTAACGATACAACTTCATGTAGTTGTAACTAGATTTTTTACCTATAATAAAATATATAAAATTATTTTAGTTTAATAATCTATTTTATGATGTGAATCTATAACAATATATGAAATCAAAGATAAAAAAATATTTATAATTTTTTAATAAAAAATTTTATATTTAACTATTTCTTATTTGTGTTTTTCATACATTTTTCTTTACAAAAAGTATTTATCCTTGTTAATCCATGGATTATTACTAAAAAAACTTTAGTATTTTATAAAATTGTGTCGAATAACAAAAATAACAATTACTAAAAGCTTATATGGAATTGAACAAATATTTTTATTTTTTTTCATGTTGATGAGAATATCGATTTTTGAAAAAAAATTAATTTTTATTAATTGGATGAGAATTTAAAAGAAATGACAAATTAATGAAAATAGTAATAAAGCACAAACTATGAGTAGTAAAATTCTTTATTATAATAATTTTTTTTTTTGAGAAATACATCTTATGTAATTGTTAATTAATAAATTATGTTTATGTAATTGTTAATTAATAAATTATGTTATGTGATAGTATGTGCTTATATACATAATTATTTTTTCAAATTAGATATTTTAAACTTTAGAAATAAATAATAAAGGAAATAAATTGTTGGTTCCTTTAAAATTTTAGCACCCAATTAATTGTTGGTTCCTTTAAAATTTTAACACCGAACTTTATTTAGAAACGGAAATTAAAAAAAAATTCACTTTTCAAAAACGAAAATAAAAAAATGGTCACACCAAAAGAAAAATTAGATATTTTAAATATTAAAAATAAATAATAAAAGAAATAAATTGTTGATTTCTTTAAAATTTTAACACCCAATTAATTGTTGGTTTCTTTAAAATTTTAACACCTTACATTATTAAGAAACATAAATTAAAAAAAAAATAATTCAATGTTTAGGAAAAAAAAAGAAAAGGAGGGGGTGAGGAGGGGCAGCATTTCCTATTTATGTGAATAGTAAACGGACGGAAATTAAAAAAAAAACATTGAGTGTTTAGAAAGAAAAAAAAGGGAGGGGGCCAAGGCGTTTAATGTTCAAATGAACGAGTAAATGGAACAAAAAAATCAAAGTGTGGTGGGAAAAAAAAAACCTAAAGGACACCAATGAACGAGTGAACGGTGATAATCACCGTTCATTGCTATAGTTAAAAAAAAACGTTTTACTTTAGTTTATAGTATAATATATATTAGTTTTTTATTCAAATTAGTTTACGGATCGGACAAAATATATAAAATTATTTAGTTAAATGTTCCATATTATATTGTGCATTTACCAAAATATATCAAATCAAAATTAAATAAAAATTCATTCAATTTTATAATTTTTTTAATCAAAATTTGTATTAGATTGATTATTCTTTGCATTTTTATAAATTTTTTTATTAAAAAATATTATTTATTTATCTATATCTATATTTTTAGTTAAAAAATTATTTTGTAATTTTTTTCTAAATATCTTTTTGTCTTAAAATTTTTAATTAAAAAATAAGAGAAAAAAGTAAGGACCAAAGTAATCAAAATGAAACAAAAAAAGAGAAACCAAAATAAAATAAAAAATTTTGTGGATCAAAAAAATAATTTTTTTTTAAAAAAGAACAAAGTGTAATGTAACAAAAATTTTCAAAATAAATATCTTTAAAAAGTTTGAAAACTATATAAAAAAAGTTAATGCATAATAAAATGAATAGTATATATAAGTCTCTGTGAATAATGTATATGAGTTTGGATGAATAGTGTTTGAAAAAATTCTAATGAATAGAAAACTAATGTTTTGGTTTAATGTTTTTTTAATTTATATAATTTATATGTTTCCCTTGGTTAATATATATATATATATATATATATATATATATATATATATTTGCAATGCCATAAATACCTTCATTTTCAAAAGTTAAATTATCAACGAGTTTCATCACGTGTGGTTAATTGTATAGTATATATGAGTAATGCTAATCATGCATAATTATCTTACATAATTTATTTATGACAAAATATCAAATATTCCAGTATATCATAAATCTAATAATTGATATTTTTTGGTAAATGGATTCCATACGACAATTATGTATTAGCATTACTCAGTGTATGTGCGTGTGTGTATATTAAATTTTATGCTTTTTAATAAATTTTGGAAATTTATTTTGTGGAATTTTGGGAATTAATTTGGGTATTATCTTGATGGTGTTGCCATTTACAATGACATGTTTATTTATTTTTATTTGTTTATTTATTTATTAGTCTGATTTCTCTCAAATCTTTATATTTTTAGATGGTTTATGTAATTTTACCATATGTAAAGGAGTTGTTGTAATGTACTCAAATAGATCCCATCTAGTTTACTTTTATGCAATTTAATCCTTGTAAAACTCCTTATCTTTAATAAATCAATTTAACTTAAAAAAATGCGGTTTTCAAACTAGTTTACTCTCATGTAAAATCAATCTTAAACAATGAAAATATATATATATATATATATATATCCTAGGTGGCCATCGACACTGCACGTAGTCTACAAAGTAGACGACAAGTCATTATAAGATTGAAAATAACAACCTAATTGATGGGATAAAGAAATGCCAAAGGATCACTGTTTTCACTGAACTTCTCTCTGCAGGCTTGTCTGAAGACCATCTCCAATCCACCACCCACCCACCCACCCACCCCACCACCACCACCACCCAAAAAAAAGCAAGAACCAAAATCCTGTTTACCCCATCATGGAAGCTGGAAAACTATTTCTGTTTTTCTCTCTTCTAATGCTCCAATTCTCCTTTTGTACATCCCAAGACTCTATAAAGACGAACCAAACCATTAAAGACGGGGACCTCCTAATTTCCAAAGGCAATACTTTTGCTCTAGGTTTCTTCAGTCCAGGCAGTTCTAGCTATAGATATCTCGGGATTTGGTTCCATAGAGTACCAGGAAAAACTGTGGTGTGGGTAGCAAATAGGAACCATCCAATCATTGGCTCATCAGGATTTTTGTCTATCAACCAATATGGAAACCTTGTTCTGTTTGGTAACAGTGACCAAGAAGTTCCGGTGTGGTCCACAAATGTTTCCATGGAAGTAGCAGATGATTGCGTAGCTGAGCTCCTGGATTCTGGAAATTTGGTTTTGGTTCAAAATGGGAGTAAAAGAGTTGTATGGCAAAGTTTTGATTATCCCACAAATGTTCTGCTGCCGGGAATGAAAATTGGGCTGAATCTGAAAACAGGATTTGAGCGGAGCTTAACATCGTGGAGATCCGCTGATGACCCTGGGATTGGAGATGTTTCAGCTAGGGTCAATCCGAATGGTTCACCACAATTGTTTTTATATAAGGGTACAAAGCCATCTTGTCGAACTCCCCTATGGCCATGGAGAGGCCATGGGAATCGCCAGCGCAGTTTATACAACATGAGTATTGTAAATGATCAAGACGAAAAGTACTGTATCTACAATATTCCTGATGATTCTCTTGTCCTAATAATAATGGTGGAGTATTCAGGAATTGTTAAAAAGTTAACATGGCATGAAAGTGAATCAAGTGATGGCCAATGGAAGGAGTTCCGGAGAAATCCTCAGTATCGATGTGATTTTTATGGATGGTGTGGTCCTAATAGTATATGTCAACCTACTGATGTAAATAGATTTGAATGTGCGTGCTTACCTGGGTTTGAGCCCAAGTACCCAAGGGACTGGTTTCTGAGAGATGGTTCTGGTGGTTGTGTCAGGAAACTACTAGAATCCTCTTCAGTCTGCGAGCACGGAGAAGGGTTTGTGAAGGTGGAAAATTTAATTCTTCCGGACACTAGCGCAGCAGTTTGGGTGGACATGAGCATGAGTCGTGCAGACTGTGAACTAGAATGCAAGACTAATTGCTCATGCTCTGCATACGCAAGCATTGAAATTCCTGGGCAAGGGGACGGCTGTTTGACTTGGTATGGGGAATTATTAGACCTGAAATATGATCTGACTGAAAATTATGATCTATTTGTTCGCGTTGATGCACATGAATTAGGTACAGTTTTTCTTCTCAGTGATAAGTCTAATAGGATTATTCTATGTTGATGCATAAAACTTTCCCTTTTCCTCTTAAGCAGCTGAATATAACTGGAAGTCAAATGGCTCTGGTAAAAGGAAGGACATTCTGGCCATTGTTGCACCGTCTGTTGCATCGCTATTGTTTCTCACTAGCCTATTTGCTTTTTTTGGCTCAGGAAGAGGGCGCAAAAAGGTAAGACCAAATCATGTATTTATTCTGCTCGGGTTGTGGCCAAGTGTCTTTAGAGGAGAAATTCACTTTTTTCCCTCGTGATTGAAAATGTTTATAAGGAATAACTAAAGATGAAGTACCGGGAAGTAGCAATACTGCGGACTTGGAATATTTCAAGCTTAGCACCGTTACAGCTGCCACGAACAATTTTTGTCCAGCTAAAAAACTTGGCCAAGGTGGCTTTGGCTCGGTTTATAAGGTAGAGTATCAAAAAACTAAATAGCTTCTCAATATGCTGTGTCTTTTTCTGTTTTCGTCAAAATTGTCATTTAGAGGTCTTATATTTTTGCAACATTATTTTAGGGTCTGCTATCAAACGGAGAGGAGGTTGCAGTAAAAAGGTTATCCAGAAATTCAGGACAAGGAATAGAAGAATTTAAAAATGAAGTTACAGTAATTGCAAAGCTTCAACACAGGAATCTTGTGAAACTTCTAGGCTGCTGCATTGAGGGTGGAGAACAAATGTTAATTTATGAATTCTTGCCAAACAAAAGCTTGGATTCTTTCATCTTTGGTAAGTCCTTGTATGTATATTTATTGCCCTGCTTTACACAAATTGGTAAATTTTAGCTCTATGAGAGATGATTTTTTAAACAGATGAAAGAAGAAGATTGTTATTGGAATGGCAGAAACGCTTCGAAATTATTAATGGTATTGCTCGTGGGATTTTATATCTACACCAAGACTCCAGGTTGAGAGTCATCCACAGGGATTTAAAATGTAGCAACATCCTATTGGATGCTGATCTGAACCCAAAAATATCAGATTTTGGGATGGCAAAAATATTTGAAAGCGACCAAATACAAGACAGGACAAGTAGAGTTGTAGGAACATAGTAAGTACATTCGCAAAAACACCTAAGCACAATTATCAAGAAGTATACTAAAACTTGGGACTTGTCCATATTTTTCTGATGCAGTGGCTACATGTCACCAGAGTATGCAGTGTTTGGACATTTTTCCGTGAAATCAGATGTTTTTAGTTTCGGGGTCATGTTGTTGGAGATTATAAGTGGCAAGAAGAACAATAGATTCCATCAGCAGAATGCTTCCTTGACCTTGATTGGATATGTGAGTTATAAGAGAATCTTTTCTGCTCATAGCTAGCTTTCAAAATTCACAATTTTAAATGTCGTCTACCTTCATTTCCTGTATGGTAATGATTTATATGAACAACACAGGTGTGGGAATTATGGAGAGAAGACAAAGCATTGGAGATTGTTGATTCATCACTAAAGGATTCATATCCTCCCCAAGAAGCCTTGAAATGCATACAAATAGGTCTGTTGTGCGTGCAAGAAGATGCCATGGACAGACCGTCCATGTTAGCAGTTGTTTTCATGTTGAGTAGTGACACAGCCATTCCTTCTCCGAAACAACCTGCTTTCCTTTTCAGAGAATCTGGCAAAAATCCTGACATAGCGGTTGACGTAGAAGATGGACTGTGTTCTATAAATGAGGTGACAATTACTTCAATTGCTAGTCGCTGAAGATGTACAATCCGAAAAACTGCTCTTAAGACATTCAATTACATTTTTTATGAAATAACAGCATGTGTCCTTCTTGACAAGATTCAATCTAAAATTTAATGGCTTCTTTTGAACTGTCCTAAGACTACTTTCTCAGTCTGTCTTGGTAATGCTTAGGGATGAAAGAGGAAACCAACTATTTTTTCTTTTTTCCATGTTTCAATCAATACATTAGAAGCCTCACTAATCTCTTTCTAACTGTGTCTTTTCAGCAAGTTCGTAAATGCAAATGTTATCTTCTTATTTCCATTGTAGGCTATAATTCATTACGGAGTACTACGTCGTTGTCATAATGCGCTGAAAAGCAAAAGAAAGCAATGAAATATTTAACTGTTCTGTCAGAATAGCAAATCCATAAATGGTGTGTTATGATTTGTTTCTATATCTAGAAAAGAAACCAAATTAACCAATAAATTGATGATTTGTTTGTTTATCTAGAAAGAAAACTCAATATGTATACAAGCATTACCATCAATCAAGAAACTAAAATCATAGAGGAAATCATTCTCTATCAAGGCTGAAATCATGAAAAAATCATTCTTCATCACTTTCAAACTCTAAATTCCCAGAATGAGTTAGAACCAGTCGATAATCTAAGCCTTGCTGCGGTTTTTTTTTTTTTTATATATATATATAATTTTTTAGTATATTTTTGTTAATAATAAAAAACCTGAGTTCTATTTTGATCGTACTAACATGTGTGAAAGTTTTGTTGTTATCTTTTTTATTTTTAACAAATGCATGGAGGCACGTCAAGCGAAGGTGATCCCCAAAGGATCACTTTGTTCACGGAACTTACTCTCTCCAGACTTGTCTAAAGACCATCTCCTTTTTCGACAGAGTAAAATTCAACACTTATCCAGGAATCAAAATTTTTACCCCATCATGGATGCTCAAAAACTGTCTCTGCTTTTCCTTCTTCTAATGCTCCAATTCTCATTTTGTACATCCCAAGACTCCATTAAGACGAACCAAACCATCAATGGTGACCTGACCTTCCAATCAAAGATTACACAAGAGTTCTCTCATTTGATGAATATGGAAACCTCGTTCTCTATAGTAACCGTGACCGAAAAGTTCAAGTGTGGTCAACAAATATTTCAGTGGAAGAAAAAGATACTTGTGCAGCTCAACTATTGGATTCACGAAATTTGATATTGGTCAGGAAAAGAAACAGAAAAATTGTATGGCTAAGCTTTGATTATCCTACAAACGTCCACTACCTGGAATGAAACTGGGCCTGGATCGAAAATTAATTAGAAATCGATCGTTTCCGAGCATCAAGAGATCAGCTGATGTTCATTCCTAGCATCGATAAATTCGAAAAAATTTGTGGCTTAATCTTGCAACATGAATTTAGGGTCTCCTGTATATATATATATATATAATTAAAATAAATTTTTAAAAAAACCACCGAAGTATTCAAGTATAGTTTTTTACGCTAACGTTATTGATTAGTTTATAAATAAATATATACACATCAAATATATATACTTTTAAAAAATAATCTTTTTATCAACATTAAATAAGAATAATAATTTATTTTTTTATTAGTTAATTTTTATATAAATTTATACATTAGTTATAACTTTATTTTATTTTATTTTGAATACATTCTTATGAAAAACATAAAAAAATTAATTAAATAAAAAAGTTTAATAAAAAATTATAAAATAATTTTATTCTATAGCGTAGCCCATTATAAACTTGGCGTGGTAAGAAGGGCAGAAGACTACAGGCTGTTTAATGCGGCCCACTTAACAAAAGCTAGATAACTTTACGGACCTAAAGCCCGGATAGTGGTGGTGGAGTCCCTTTTTAGGCCCTCTTGAGAGGAGACTCATGGAAATCTTTGTTGAACCGGAAGATGTGGCAATTTATAGTTTATTTTTATTACAAATCAATCCTTATGGGAAATTTTTTTGTCCTTGTATGCTTTTGTAATTATAATTTAGTCTCTGATTGAATTTGTTTTCAACTACATCCCTAGAGTGAAATTGCAAAATTAGTCAAACAATTTAAATGGGTTAATGAATAGGATAAATGTTAAGTGATTTTAAGTGAAATGGGGATTTATTTAAAAAATAAATGGATCATAGATGATTAGTGGATAAAATATGACTCTACTCATTTTTGAGCCCTTACAGATTTCTCAACTTTCCACTTCGGCTCTTATAATTTAAAAATTTTCCAATATTACTTCGTAGTTTCAAAAGAGTTCCAATTGGTCTTTGGAAACTATAGGATTGTTAGCTTCCGTTGACTATTTAACGGCTGGAGGCTAGGCTAGATTGAAATTCCTGAAAACTACAGGATTGATGTTGGAAAATTTCAAGTTACAGCAGCCAAACCTTGCTAAATTAATCTGCAGTATCTTGAGGTGCATAGTTTACCTAAACCATCAAACTGAACAGCTGAAAAATGTAGAGCTCTTTACCGATACATCCCCATGCCAAAAAATGTTCTGCCTATGATGCAAATATATTTGGGCATAAGTTTAGCCTCTATTACGTGCATCTCTATTTGTTGCAATTTGTAAACAATCACCAAAAATAAATCAATGCACAAGAACTTGCACAACATTGCAAGAAGATTGCCTACATTGATACATCAAATATCTTTAGTCCTTGAGAAGCTGTCAAATTTTCGGTTTTGGCCTTCGTACAGAACTAAAAGAAAATTTAACATTTGGACATTTCAATGTTGATAATCAATGATCTAGCAGTACATGTTACAAGAAAAATAATTGTGATAGGAACTCATTATCTGCCATCAACGGTTGTGACAGTTACATTATTAATGGAATATTTTTGATGGCTTTGATGAAGTAGTAACTCTTCATGGAGCTGGTGTTTCCTTTCAGCAAATGGTGGTTGCTTCGGAGTTGCAAGGTAAGAAATTTCACTATTCAGCATTGAAACGACAGTAGAAGCTGTTGGTCTATCTTCTGGAAATTCTTGAACACACAACAGGCCGACATGTATGCATCTAAATATTTCCACCTGCGAGTTTGGATCGGATATTATGGGATCCACTAGAGCTGAAATGTTGCCTTCATTCCATAATTTCCATGCCTGCAAAGTTCAATAGTAATACAAATAAGAAAATTGCAGTTTAAGTTTTGTCAGAAATGAAATTCAAGCTGTAGATATGACTGATGCTTTGAGTTGTAGTGGACATACAAATCCTAAAAGACTCAAAGCTTGCTCATTGCCACAGAAACTAGTAATTCTTCTCCCGCTTACAATCTCTAATAACAAAACTCCA